TACTAAACGGAGATGAAAACATGCGAGGTAAGTATACAAAAACACAGGTATACTAACAAGATTGGAAACACACGAGGCAAGTATACAAGACACGAATATACTAGATAGAATTCCGGATACAAGACGCAAGTGCACAGTTTCAAGTATGCTAAATGAGATCCAAATCCATGAAGTAAGCATAATGTCTATACAATTAAACAAGGTAGGAAATACTCCGTATAACATGACAAGGTTCTTAGATCTTCATGAGATAACACTTGAAATCTAAGGGTTCAGAGATTTTGCATGTTGATATAAATCATTATATATGGTCTATGCCACCTAGAATCTAAGTCAAGAATCATATATAGGATCATTCCTAAATCATATCAACATGAAGCAACATGAATCACTAAGTCTATGAAATTGAACAAGGTTGGGATAATCCAAAAAACATGATAAGAAAGACACTTGAATAAAGATCAACATGTATTGCATTGTCAATACAATTAAGCAAGATTGGGAATAATCCATACAACATGATAAGAGGATACTAGAATACAAGGTTCACATTATCAATCCAATTTACATGATTGGGACATACCAATTAACACGACAATAGTTATACATGAAATCAAGAACAAGACATAATATCTATGTAATTAAACAGGGATGAAACATTTCCTATAACACGAAAAAGTTTTAAATATTCAAGGAATGCAACACTTGAAATTTAAAGAATGAAATCAAACAATGTGGAAACTTGGATATCGCCTGGATTAAAACTGTACTTTTGGCATCACTTTAGGGCTACTAACCCATAGGTACATTCCCCTAGTGCGCACGATAGAAAATCATTCTCTTGGGATCACTTTAGGATTACTAACCCAATGGTACCTTCCCCTAGTCTTGGGATCACTTTAGGGTTACTAACCCCAATGGTACCTTCCCCTAGTCTTGGGATCACTTTAAGGCTACTAACCCAAGGGTACCTTCCCCTAGTGTGCACGATAGTGTAGGGAGCTCTCTATGTCCCGTACTAAAACCAAGTCCTAGCCATGTCACTTCTTGATTGATATTTCCGAGTTTCCAAAATCAACAAGTTGTGCAAGTCAAGATGGACTCAAGATACAAGTAATGCATTAAACACGTTTCATGCATAATCAATATTTTGGAAACACACAAGGCATGCCCTAAGTTCTCAACTATTATGGCATGTGAAATGTCAAGGAATCATAGTATGCATTTACATAGACTACAAACTAGGATATATAGCACATAGAATCCATTGATGTAAACATACCACTAGTATAAGATTGATGATTTAATGATTTGTTTAACAACACTTGAATATTTAAATCATTCCAATGTAAGGGTGCAAGTTCATCAACTACATTAATGAAGCTAAGTTGCAACAAGTCATTAGAACACTAAGTAGGAATTAATTAACCTAATTAATTAATTTCTCTAGAAATCAAAGTTGTCCAAAAACTCTCAAAAATAATATATGTGAATGTTCATTCCATGGTGATTGCAAATATCACATCAATTTCACAAAGTAAGCAAGATACAACCTTGTGGAATTTAATTAATTAAAATTAAATAAATCTCTAGATTTCAAAAGTTATTCAAATGTCCCAAATAGATGTATAACAAGGATTAAGTCATGGTCATAACATATATCAAGTCAAAAATGGAATACAAATAAGGTACAGTTAAGTAAAATTTAAATCAAATTAAATTTATTAAATCTCTATATTTGAAAACTCATTCAAATGGCTCCAAATAATTATATAACAAAGATCAAGTCAAGGCCATGCCATATATCAAGTCAAAAATGAGTTACAAGCAAGGTATAATTAATCATTAATTTCTCAAATTGATATAAAACATGCATACAACTTGTATTTCACTACAAAAGCAATTAAAACCACTTGGAAAATAAAATATAACACCCTCTATCTCACAAGAGGATTGTTCCTCTTGAATCCAAGGCAAATCAACACAAAATGACAAACCTTTCTAGGGTTATGTAGAGGAGGATGGGGGGAACAAAAAGTATTCCTATGGTTTAGCTTGGAAATCAATGAAAGGCTCTCAAAAATTAAGGTCAAAGCTTAAGGCTTTAAGCTTCATCCATAGAGGCTAGGGTTCTTATTGTGAAGGATAATGAAAAATGTGAGGGAGATGAAATGTGAGTGGATGATTTAGAAGTCTTCCACTTACTAGGTGAACTAACACCATGGTCAACACACACTAATCTTGGTCAATTGCACAAAAACCCTTCTTTAAAACCATAATCCCAAAGTGGCCCAAAAAATAATTGCAAGACTTAATTTGGAGCATACACTTGTCACTCATCCATGGCTCCTTCCTAGAATTAATCCTAAGCCTACACTTATCAACCATCCAAGTCAACAAATGCACCTATCATATATCAACCAGTGGTTGAATCTCCACCCTCCACATGTCATCATTCAAGGTATCTAAATGTCTCCACACAGATGTCAACAAGTGGACCAATGAGAGTGTGACACCTGTCACACTTTTTCGAAAATTGCAAAAAGGTCCTTTTTGAAAATATCTTCCAAATTAAATTGCAAAATGGTCCTCAAGACAAAAAATAATTACTTTAGGTAATTACACAAGTAATTCCAAAAACAAGAAAGTTTCCAAAGAAAGTGTGCATCCACACCCCTAAGGAAGAAAGTGAACAATGGCATGCATTTCAAGGAAAGTAAAAATACACATTTCTAAGAAATCATATATCATGAGTGCATGCAAAAGTGGAAGCAAAACCGAACACGGAAAGTGAGGTTGTGCCAACAAAATGACAAACGAGAAAAAGACAAAAAGTGAATAGTATCCAAAAAATGAAAATGAGGAAATAACTCGGTCCTCACAAGGAAGTTGTCAATCTAAAAGAAAGAGTCTCGGAAACCATTCCCGAGCACTCAGGACGACACCAAGAGACTAGAAACCGAACTCGGAAAAGAAAATTAAACGAAAAAAATTTATCCGTAAAATTTGAGAAAAAAGAAAGGAAAGAAAATGACCGTGTTATTACACAGGTAGGTGGCCGGCCTCCTATGCCTCTGACGTGCAATGAAGTGGCTCACAAATTGCTTACTCAGTTCTTCGAAGGTGTTGATGGTTCCTGGTTTCAACTTGTTGAACCAAACTCTTGCTGATCTCTGAAATGTAGTGAGGAAAGCTCGGCACATGATTTCATCTGGCACGACTTGTAAATGCATAAGAGCTTGAAAGGTTTCCAGGTGATCGAGGGGATCTTTGGTCCCATCGAAGTTTTCGAACGAGGGCATCCTGAACTTGCTAGGCAAGGGGCATTTCATAACGGTGGGGCTGATTGGTAAGTTGGTCCTCTTCACCAGGTCATCGATGGCGGCAGGACATTTCCCTTTCATAGCCTGCATTACATCTTCCATTTTCGTCTTGAGATCCTCGATTTGTAGGTCGAAATAGGTAACTTTCTCTGTCTTTTCCTTGACACAGAAGGTTGTGCCTATTTGAGACTGGGAATTCCGCAGAGGCAGGGAAGGAGGTTCTCTGTGTCGGTTTTCGACTTGGCTTTGTTCTGCCTCGAACTTGTGAGAAGGATTGTTTTCTCGGTCCTCCTTGTGTTGTCCCCCATCATTCAAATTGGGAGGATATGGGTCAGACAATTCTTGTTGAGGTGGTGGTCCCGCTGGGATAAGATGTTGCAGGATCTCTGCATTTTGTTAGATCAACTGGTCCATACCCTCCTGATTCAGAGTTTGGACCTGTAGTTCTAACGCTGCAGGCCATTCCTGGTCATTCGGGACGTCTTGGTGTTCACCCTACCCTTCTCTTTGACTGGATCCCTGCAACGATGTTTCTGTTCCAGTTACCATACCAGACCGCAAGTGCATATACCCAACCGAGTAATTGATTTAAGGGAATTGTCGTTCCCACAGACGGCGCCAATTGTTGAGGGTGAAACCCACGCGGTCCGATACGACACCGTTTTCCTACAAAAAAGAGAGTAGAAGATCGATAAATCTTGACGGCACCAGTGTGGGGCCTGCCAAGAGCTCTCCGACGATCAAGTTAGTCACTGGAGGTCTAAAAGAAATGTAGGGATTTAATAATAGTTTTTTGTCGTACCTTTATTGACCGGTAGGATCTCCTTCTTATAATCGTTCTCCCTCAGTTTATTTTTGGGATCAGAGGAGATCCGCTTGTGCGAGATCAGAGTAGATCCGTTTGTTACCAGATTTGTCGGGGATATGATTTAACCCTTTTGACTTCCTCAAATTGTGCCAAAGTTATCCTTATCCCGTTGAACCACGTCATCTTATCTTTTCAATGATAATGAAATATTATCATTCTTATTCGATGAAAATATCATCGCACTTAGTTGCCTCTATCATTAGGTCAAGGTAGATTAGGTTTATTTTTTCCTAGGTCAAGGTAGATTAGGTTTATTTTTCTCTATCACTGACAATTCAATTTGATTTGATGAAACTTTTTTTACTTCAAATCATAATCGAATTAAAAAAATTTATTCTTTAAATTTTAAAATTCAAATTGAACGGTTTTATTATAATACGAGTTAATAATCATTAGTTTGGTTCCATTCGATTTTATAATTTTGGACTTCTCTATATGTATATAAACAAATTAATAAAATGAAAAGGTAAATTTTGATATACACACACACACACACACACGATCCTATGTATTATGCATATTGAGTTATATACCAAACAAGTGGATTATACAATATATATTTATATGTTTATTACTAACAAATCAGAATCGAATTAAAATTTCTGATTTTTTAAATTTTAAAATTGAAACTGAACCGTTCGATTATAGTACGAGTTAAATCGGTTCTAATGATTTTTTCTTTTTTTTTTTCACCCCTACTTATTTACCCAAGTTTTTTAACTTAAAATCGCACAGTGAAAAAAAAAAAAAAACCCTTAAAATCGCACACTTTATTTATTTTTATTTTTATTTTATTCAATAAAAAAACACACATACGGAGTCGCAAATGAGGTCCACTTTCATCTCAAAGCATTTCACAGTTTCAGACACACCAGTTTCATCAAAAAAGCACTTTCGTCGATGCTTCAATTCCGAAGAATGACAACGAAAGCGCAATTCAAACCCTAGAACATCATCAACATTTGATCCCAATCAGATTCAATCGAATTGCGCAAATTCCATCACCAGATCTCATTCATAGTATCTCCCTACACTGATCTGATCTCTTCTGATCTCGCGATCAGAAACCCTAGGATCAATGGCAGGGGCGGCCTCTGCTCTCTTCCTTCTTGACATCAAAGGCCGCGTTCTGGTGTGGCGCGACTACCGTGGCGATGTATCAGCTGTTCAGGCCGAGAAATTCTTCACCAAGCTCATCGAGAAAGAGGTTCGCTTTTTGTTTACTTGTCCGATAAATTATGGACCAAGTTTGGTTGATTTTGGTGATGTATATGAAATTTGACTTTGATTATGAGTTGCTTTCATTAATTTCGATCTCAGATCGGTTAATTGGATCAAATTTTTTGGTTGCTGAGAAAAATGAAGGAAAATAAGGCTGAGCTGTTACTTTTTGTTTCTAATAACACAAAAGTTCTAATCTTCTTGAGCCAAATCATTGAATTAGCTTAGTTGAGTGGAGTTCAAAACTTTGATATCTTCCGTACTTTATTCTTTATCGTTTAAATGGAACTACATCGAACTTGGTTTAGGCATTATGCATTTGAAACTTCATCTCTTATGAACTCTCTTACTATAGTTCATTTTGATCTGATTTCTTGGAAATTTGTTAAGCTGAACGCTGATTTTTCATGGTTTGTTTCTGGTCCTTTGATGTGCTTCAGGGTGATCCGGAGACTCAAGATCCAGTTGTGTATGATAATGGTGTTACCTATATGTTTATACAGCACAACAATGTTTATCTGATGACGGCATCTAGGCAGAACTGCAATGCTGCTAGTCTTATCCTCTTTCTACACCGTGTAGTTGAAGTAAGCACTTTTGTTAACTCTAGCTTTTGTTATAATATGGATTTTGATTGACATAAAGTCAGTGTCTCAAAATAATTATGTTATAATTGCAGTCGTTCATTGTGAGCCACTTTTTGTTGGCAGGTCTTTAAGCATTATTTTGAAGAGCTAGAAGAGGAGTCTCTTAGAGATAATTTTGTTGTAGTGGTAAGATTATGTTTCAACCTCGTTATTATTTTTTAAATAAAAAGTTTGCTATATAATGAAATGGGTTATTAACCAACATTTGGATGCAATCACACTGATGGTTTAGCCTTTTGCAGTATGAACTACTTGATGAAATGATGGACTTTGGTTACCCTCAGTATACTGAAGCCAAGATTCTAAGTGAATTCATCAAGACCGATGCTTACAGGATGGAGGTTGCACAGAGGCCTCCCATGGCCGTAACAAATGCAGTATCCTGGCGCAGTGAAGGGATACGTTATAAAAAGAATGAGGTAGGTTCTTTCCTGTATGAGTAATTTACATTTTTTTCAAGCCATTAAGCTACAAAGATTTTGTCTTGTTTGTAGGTATTTTTGGATGTTGTGGAGAGTGTTAATATACTAGTCAACAGCAACGGGCAGATAATTAGGTCAGACGTTGTTGGGGCATTAAAGATGCGGACATATTTGAGGTATGTTGTCTGCCATGTGTGTTATAAGTATTCAAATTTATTCTGTTGTTGTATCTGGCAAAATTTCATCACTATGTTTGTTTGGTTATATATTCTAAAACATGTATTTCCCACACCAATTTTGGGCCTATGGTTTTAAATCTACACCACATGGACTTGTTTTGTAAAAGCCTACGATGGTATAGAAGTGTACATCATAGTGAATTTGCCTCATAAGATCAGGACCAATGACAATGAAAGAAGCGGTAGAAGGGTTGTTAGAGTGCTGGTTCTGAAAATTCTTCCAGTTAGGAGTCTAGGACCCTGGTAATATGTATATCTGAATAATAAATGTCATGGTAACTGTTAGTTTTCAGCACTTTGTTTCATGGTGGAATTCGAGATGAATCTTTGGAAGATTTAACACAGTTGCGAAGAAAACTCATACTAGTTTTTATATTTATGAGGGCAGCATTTGTAAACTAAGAGTAATGCCAAGTATATGGTAATTTGATGGGTGTAGGTTATAGAAAGCTTGCATTATAGTGTTCTAAACCATAGAAGAATGATTGCAGGCTTTGGGAATGTGAAATGGTTGGGATTTACCCTTTTCCTACTCTTCTTTTTTGTTGGTAAATAGCAAGCATATTAAAAGGAATTACTTTGTTAGGTGACTAGTATTTTTAGAATTTAGGTTATTGGAAATTGCAAATGACAACTAATTATAGTGCTTGGTCGCTGAAAGTTCAGGGAGAAAGTAGCTGGACAACAATGCTTTCTGGGTGAATTGCATAGTTATATATAGACGTCTAGGTTTTCTTACCTCTGATTGGATTTGGACATTATATTTCAAAGCATTAGGACTTTGACTAGTAAAATCTGACTTTCTAGAGTTCACATATAAGAACTCAATACCATAACTTAACTAAAAATATGACCCTTAGGGTAACTATTAACTGTCTCATGTCTAACAAGTCTAGAAACTACCAAAATTCTCAAATATAAAACATGTATAAAATTGAACTAACAACAAATTATCCTAAAGAAATTGAAAAATAAGACTTGTCTCAGAACTTAGTTATGCAAGTTCAAAGTGGGCCCCACATCATCCAACACATGCATTGAAACTTCTCATTAATGTCACTAATCTCCATCATTGGGTTTCATAGTTTGAAATTTCCAACCTTGATTTTATTTTGCACTATGCTCATTACCTGTTTATACCAACTATAGGATTACTCGTATTGCCTGGTCCTGGTGTAGTGGCATGCTGTGAAAGTGGGTTCTGCCCTCTCATATGATGAACTGTTAGGCTAGCTAGATTGGGCCAATGGTGATGGTGGTTCACTAAATTGAGTTTATTTTGAAATTTCCAATCTTGATTTTATATTACACTATGGTCAATTACTTGTTTATACCAACTATAGGATTGCTCGTATTGCCTGGTCCTAGTGTAGTGGCATGCCCAGAAAGTGGGTTCCGTCCTCTCATATGATGAACCGTTAGGCTAGCTAGATTGGGCCTGACAAATGCCAGAAGCACAAGATCAACCACTCCGGCCATTAATGTTAATCATATATGCCAATGTGTTGTCCAAAACTCCTTTGCTACTGTTTGGTAATGCTAAACTTTCCATAATACTAACTCTAGCGATATGCTTAGGGACAGGGTTTTGGCCACATAGACCCACAGAGATGAGGGCTACAAATGAACCAAGTATTTCAATGTCTTGGCTCTACTTAACTGACCATTTTCCAAGCTGAATCTATCTCAAACTAATCCTGAGCTCATCAATCTAAGCTATGTTGGAACAAACCAAATTTTGAAAAAAGAACAATAAATAAATCAGTGAGAGAACAATCTTCATTTGAAACTGAGAGCAAGAGAAATGAGAGTAACAATTTTGATCCAAATTTGGGGCAAACAATCAGATAAAGATCACTAAAAGTGATCCAAATGATGATAATTCATGGAAATTACAGATTCACCAATAGCACACAAAGAAATTGATTTTAGTGGCATATAATAGATATTGCACAGAGAGCCAGTTGCAAAGAAACTGACTTTCTGGAAAATTAATCTGCTTTTGTCTATTAAAATTTCCAACTTAAGGAAAGAGTAAAACTGCCAATTTTGTTTATGTTTGCAATGGGAGTGTGTGAATGCACATGCTTGTTTTTTCCTTCATTGTTATAAGGTTGCATTTTCTTATGCTTATGATATTGTGTCCATATCCATATCCTATCAGCTACCCAACAGACTGAACATTTCGAAACACATGTGATTGTACATCAATCTTTGCAGTAAGTAGGGCAGAACTATGTTTCAATTTCGAGTTTATTTTATTGTATTTTGGCGTGCGCGCACACACTCGCGCTTGATCTTGCCAATGACTTATGGTTACAATCTGCAAATTATATAAAGTGTTCATGATTCATATATTGCAGTGGTATGCCTGAGTGTAAGCTTGGGCTAAATGATAGAGTGTTATTGGAGGCGCAAGGACGATCAACAAAGGGAAAAGCCATTGATTTGGATGACATCAAGTTTCATCAGTGCGTAGCTTAAAAACTCTGGTTTAGTTGTATTCTGCTGCTGGTCATGATCTTTTTTTTTTTTTTTTTTTCTTTAAATTTTTTATTCTATTGTATTGTGAATTTATACTTCTGCTGCAAATGTCAAGCTAATATCCAGTTTTGATTTAGGTGTGTGCGTTTGGCCCGATTTGAAAATGATCGGACAATATCCTTTATACCTCCTGATGGTGCTTTTGATCTCATGACATATAGACTCAGTACTCAGGTTCACCTTGTTCTTTATCTTGTCTTATTTTATTCTAATCTTTTTAAGTTATATTACCAAATTGCTCCCTTACACCATTTATTGAGATTTATTATTTGCTTTCAGGTCAAACCTCTGATATGGGTAGAAGCTCAAGTTGAAAAGCATTCTAGAAGTCGTATGGAGATCATGGTAAAAGCCCGGAGCCAATTCAAGGAGCGTAGGTACAATTAATTCTTTCTTTACTGCTCAAATGCAACTCTTGCTGACCCTTGGAATATTGACAGGCTCTTGTTTAGAATATCTGAGTTAACTCATGATTTGATTTAATTTATAGCACTGCAACAAATGTTGAGATTGAGTTGCCTGTGCCATCTGATGCTACCAATCCTAATGTTCGGACATCAATGGGATCTGCTGCATATGCACCAGAAAATGATGCTTTGGTCTGGAAAATAAAATCTTTTCCGGGTGGTAAGGTATAAATAAGCTACAAATTGCTTTTGCACTCGAAACTATTATCTGTTATTATTCTGGTGTTAATGGCTATGAATTTGGGTGCGGCTTTTATATGCTCTTTCTGTGAGTTACAATTTGACTTTGATTTTGATTTCTGAATTGTTTAGGAATACATGTTGAGAGCAGAGTTTACTCTTCCTAGTATAATAGCTGAAGAAGCAGCTCCTGAGAGAAAAGCTCCTATACGTGTGAAGTTTGAGATACCATATTTTACTGTTTCAGGAATACAGGTGTGCCCTCTTGACACAATCCCTTTTTCTGTTGAATAGAACATTTTGATAATATTGTGTTGATATCTGCAGCTCTTCCGCAAGGCTTCATGCTGTTGGTGAAAAACATAATTTTGTGTTCTTTATATCTCTTTGTGCTTGTGTCTATGCATTTGCTGTATGTGTGTATATGACTATATGGTGAAGTCGGCTAATAGCTAAGAAGCACAGATATTAGTAAGGTTCAAAGGGCCATGCCCGAGTCAACTTCTTGGGCATTCCGGAGCACATGTTTGACACTCTTGGAGCATGTTTATAATCTAATTATAAATTATATACAAATGGCCTACACTTTAGTGAACCTTAGGCTCTGGACGTAAAATGTCTTTTTTGGAAAATATTTTCCTTTTTATTTTTATTTTTTTGGTGTTTGACAAAGGTTTACGTCGAGGTTGAGGTCGAGTCCATCAGGCGGGACATGTAAAATAACTTGTCGAAAATCGATGAATAAGTTATTTTTGTTATATTTTAATATTTTTTTTCTTCATAAATATTTTACGACAACCAAACACCAAAAAATAAAAAAATATTTTTTGAAAAGTATTTTACATCCAAACAAACAGAGCCTTAATGTACAAGACACTACTTCAGAATGAAAAAGAATAATAATTGTAAGGGGGAAAAAAAAATAATTTAAAGGTTACTCCTTCTGTCCCAATTTAGATGTCGCTTTTGGGGAGTAGGAATTTTTAAGGGGACATGTGGGACATGCCTTGTCTCCCTGGAAAGTTACTAATTTGCCCTTCTAAGTTTTGAATATTCAAGTTTGAAATCACTTATTAAAAAAAATATATATTCAAGTTTGAAATCTTAAATTCCAAGGACATATATATATTTTTTTGGGACAAAGGGAGTATATAAATTGAAAAAAGTATGGACCATATTATAGAAAGCTGAAATCTTTTATTCAAGAAGTGGACATGAGAATTGGATTAAACAGAGAAATCACTAAATTGTATGTACATACACATTGCATATACATTATACGTATCTATGTACATAGAAACACAAAAGTATATATTATGTTGTGTCCTTGTAGCTTTTTCTAAATCATGAAGATGATTATGATTATGCAATTTATAAGCTACATTGTCATCTAATTACAAATTATAAGATTTAATTGTTATCGAGTAATGTTGTCATATATATACTTCTTATATATAAGAAATCTATATTTGTTTGTTGTGTCCATGCCCTACTTTTTCAGATTTGTTCTGTACATTTCATGATGTATTGGTTTCCATGCTTCCTAGGCTAATAGGTCTCTTAGTAGTCTTTTTTTCCATTAAATAATAATAATAATAATAATAATAATAATAATTGAGGTATTCTTATTGTTGGCTGTTCTGATATATGATTTATTATACCATTGAAATGAAATACCTACATGTTAGGAGAGAAACAATTTTATCTTATTGTTGAAGGATTTAAATATATAAGTTACTCCCTCTCTAACAGTTTAAGCTTTTAGAGTAATGGTGGTTAACATCAGAGCAGGCAAGATCCTGTGTTAAAACCTCACCGTCACCTTCGCATTAGACCAAAAGAAGGCCACATGTGAGGGGGTGTTGAAGGATTTAAATATTTAAGTTACACCCTCTCTAACAGCTTAAGCTTTTAGAGTAGATGGTGGTTAACACTTATCATATCAGTGAAGTGTCAACTGATGAAAAATTCTTGGCCATCGTAATATTTTTTTTTTATAAGTAAATTCAATTAAGAAAAAAAGTTCAACAGGGGAACGCGTCCCACATACAGAAACAGATAAGAAACAAACAAGGGCCCTAAGGCGCCAGAGAAGATAGAAAATCGATCAAATCCTCGGGAAGACAACAAGATCTACCTTAGTCCCAAAAAGAAAGAAAGTAAATAACAGAAGACTTGAGAGCAGCAATTGAGGACTCCTCTTCTTCAAAGGCTCTTCTATTACGCTCCCTCCACAAACACCATCAAAGGCACAAAGGTGCCATCGTCCAATACCTTCTAGCATGAAGGCCCACGTAAACTCCTCCCCAAGTCTCCATCAAAATTCTCGTAGATCTAGGCATGATCCACGTAACCCCGAACAGTCCCAGCAAGAGGTTCCAACAATCCCTGACCACTGAACAATGCAAAAGGAGAGGATCCACCGACTTGTCAACTTGCTTACACATGAAACACTTATTAATAATGATGTGCTTTCTCCTCCTCAAATTATCCAGCGTCAAAATCTTCCCCCACACCGCGGTCCAAGTGAAAGAAGCCACTTTAAGCGGCACCTTGGATCTCCACACCGCCTTCCACGGAAACCTCCCCCCTGAGCCCGAAAGACAACCAAAAAAAGATCTCACACAAAACGCACCCCAAGAAGAGGGAATCCAAACCAAAACATCCTGACCTCCTCCCCGCACCTCCTGTCTGTACAAAAGCTCCATAAAACTGTAAACGTCAGCCAACTCCCAATCCTGCACTGATCTACAAAAATGAACATCCCAGGTCATCCTCCCGCAATCAAGCCAATAGCAGTCAGCAACCCAGGCATGCCTATCCGCAGCCTCGGAAAGACAGTAGCTAAAGTACGATCACCACGCCACAAATCCTCCCAGAATCGAATCTCCCTCCCTTCCTGAGCTCGAAATCTAATGTGCTTTGAAAACTCATTCCACCCTTTCCGGATATCTTTTCCGAACCCTCACCCCTCTAGGTATCGATACTAAAGCCGAGCACCACCCCCCAGCCTCCTCCCCAAAACGTCCTGAAAGAACTCTCCTCCATAACCTATACCTCTCCGGTCCAAACCTCCATAACCACTTCCCAAGAAGGGCCCTATTAAAGGGCACAAGTCTCCTAATCCCTAGACCTCCCGACTGAATAGGCCTATAGACCTGCTCCCACCAGACAAGATGATACTTAAATTCATCCCCAGAACCTCCCCACAAAAAATTCCTAGTATTCACATACACATTTTTTCATTCTATATTTCTTTTAATTCTAATGTATTTTTCTTTAATTTAGACAATAAGGAGAACAAGCATAAAATTTAAAAGACACGTTGCAAAATCTGAACTGAATCTCTTCTAGTAGTTTCCCACCCAAGAGGAAGGTGGGCCTTTTTTCATTTTGTGCAACCCAATCTGCATTCAAGTTGCCTCTTTGACCATCTAAAATAAACATCATGCACGACAGGGCTTTCCAGCTACTTAATGTATCTTAATTATTAGAACCAAATTGGATTTTTATATGATTTAACAAATCTAGAGCAGTTTAGTTATTTGATGTATTTGAAGGGCAAGTGATCTGGAGGTAGAAAGAAAGGTGGCTTATATTATTAGAACTGTATAGTTTGATGTTGCAGAGGAAAGTGGTATTGCAACAATTTTATGGAGGTTTCCTGTTTGAGGATGGTTTAAATGATGTCAATGGAATCTCTTCCCCTTGTGGACTTCAATGGTTCGTTTGGTTTGGTAGAAGTAGCAGTAAAGGAAAAGAAATGAAATAATTTAAACTTTTTAGGAGTTTGGTTGGATGGAAAATGAAAATATTCAGAAAAGTAGGTTCCTCCCAAGTTGATTTTCCCCAAAACCTTTCCAGTATAAAACGCAAGAAAATTTTAGTTTCTCGTAAAAGTTGTAGTTCTATATTTTAGTTTCTTGTTATACCCCTTATCTATTGGTGATTCTATATGTTTAACAGTACATAGACTTCTAATAGATTTGTACATGACAATAACTTAGAAGGCGCACTATTGGAAGGAAGTTAGTCACGTGACTTTATATTTTGGAAGTAAACACAAGAATTAAAAATTATAAATATTTTGGAAGTAAGCGTCTAAGATTAATTGTTAAAAATATTATGAAGTTTTCCTCAAATATTAACAATTTAAAAATTAATATAAATAATTATATTATTATTTTTAATAATCTATCAGTTTATTATTATTATTATTATTATTTTACTTAGAATAGATATAAACAATTGGGTAATAAATTTTATTTTTTTAGTGTTCGACTTTATAAGGGTAGTTTTGGCAAGTACAATCATTTTCTTTTCACTTTCATGCTATTCAAACTAACGAGTAATATTTTTCCACATCTTTCTTGAAAACAACTCATGCAGACCAAATACATGCTGAAAACTTGATATTCCTGTTTTTTTTTTTTCACTTCATTTTCTTTTAATTTCACTTTCCATTATTTATTTGTGTCTAACCAAATGGACCCCTAGTGAATGGTTAGAAATGACATGTCATAAAGGGCCGTTACCCATTGTGGTGCTGGATAATCAAGGGTGCAGGAAGGGTGGACTAGATATAGACCTGAAAATGGCATGGATAACTCAGATTTCTTAGCTTGAAGTTAGTTTTGGTTATCAAATAATTCAAATTTGCATTATGTTTTGATTTGATAGAGATGAACCACATATGTGAGATGCAGGAAAGATAGGGAAGTTTCTGGCATCTTTTGGTTTCCTATAGTTAATTTGAAAGATGAAACCTTTATTTATGATACAATTACGATTGAATGATGATCCTCTGTTCTTTGTGTATCGTTGCGATGCTTTATAAAAGCTTAATTGACATTTAGTCTGGTAGATCTCACGAGTTTCCCAATGAAAATGTGTGAAAACCATGTTGAGCTGGGAGTATATAAACAGTAGGATCCTGGATGCTACCAACCAGACCCTCCGAGTCAGTCAACATGGTCAGATGGCAGCACAGCAGCCATATGAGAACATTTGGTACTTGCAAAGGTCATTAGTACTCTTGGGCTTCGTTGCTCGTTAAATTAACAGATATGTTTGTGGATCCAAGAATGTTTCAAGTGGGATCGGTTATTTACGGGACTTGTATAACATCATTCTACGTTTTGTCTTTTTGTTTGAAGTTGGATAGGGTAATTGAAATAGTCTATTGGAACTAGTTTGATGCAGAAAGCTATTTGAAAGTTGTTTTGCCAATAGTATAAACTATAATATAATAGATGCCATTTACCGAATGTCATTTTATTTGAAGTTGACTTCATTTTCTTTTAAGTCAATTGAGGAAACTGCTTCGTTATAATGAATATGGGATTCTGCATTTTATTTTCTGGTTACGTAGTTTGTTTCTGAATGTGACCACCATGATGAGACATATATATAATTCTTGATTTGGGGGGTTTTGTAGGTTCGTTACCTCAAGATCATTGAGAAAAGCGGCTACCAGGCTCTTCCTTGGGTGAGATACATAACAATGGCTGGAGAGTATGAATTAAGACTTATGTGAAGCCGTTTCAATCTGTTTGTGTTTCAAATCAGAGCAAGGTCATTTACAGGCTCAGATCATTTAGAGCTTCCATTGTGGATTAAAAACGAGGAGCCTCGTGGGGCGTCAGTTGTACCTATCCAGACAAATGGTTTTTTGAGCAAAATCTCTCTCTGCTCCTTTTTTGTTCTTCAACATGATATTGTTATATTAGACAGTGCTTTGTAAGAGCCAATGTTTACTCACAAAGTTTATATGTTGATTTCTTTTGAAAATTAAGACTATATATTGTGAATCGAATGTTTGCTTGTAATCTTGTATTTGAAATATTCCACTTTAATGGTTGATGATTTTATTTTTGATTAAAGGCAATACCCTAGGTACTTGTTCGCACCACAGTAGCACATAAGCTTTTAGAAATGCCCTAAAAATGGAAATGAAACTGATGGAAAGAAAGCTGGTAATGCCCAAGATATTCAAAAACTTGGTAAAGTGACGTGAAAATAAACAATGATTTGAATCGAAGTGTATAATGTTGGAATGGTCGACACAATTATGTGTTGTGATATTGGGTGAAAAAATGTATACATATTTTTCATTTCATAATGCGTGAAAAATTTAATTATAAAATTAGTAGATGGTTCTGAATTATTAGAAGGTTCTGAATCATTTGTCAATAGGTAATCCCATCAAAATTTAGATTCATGTTTCTTTATAATATCTTTATTACTCTCGTGGGTCTAATCTTATATTCCGAAAATTCTAATCGAACTGGACCATGAAGAGTTAATGAAAATGGAAATCGATGCTAGTGTCAACGAAAACGGAAAACTGAGTTTCTGATGACATGAGCATGCTGCCTCGTCTACCGAGAGAGAATACAATGATGTTCCCTTCACTAAATCATTCTTGCCTCCACCTTGTCTTCAATAGCTCAATAAACATGGTGGACTTACCTAAATGGCTTGCCTCAATTGAGAAACTCACCACGGTGCAAAATCATCCCCAGTTTTCTCCATTTTGATTTTAAAATAAGTGGCTGTGAAAGTGTCACGTCAATTAATTATATTGACTAACTAATTTTTCACCACCATTCTTTAAGTTATATTTCATATATATATAAATTTTAAATATTAATTTCAAAATAGGGTATAAGTTATTTTAATAGAGAAGATGGGTCTTCCTTCCTCTCCTTGGTCTCTGATATTTTATTTTGAGATTGCTCGTCTTCCTCTCTCTACTTGATATCTATATTTTATATTGGGAGTTCCAGTGAAATTCATTTGATTATAGTCAAATTTGCTCCTTTTGTCGGAACAATTATTGGCTAATTCCAAATTCATGTTGTTTACTTGAGATAACAGTCAAATTTTTTTCACTTTGTTTAAAAATTGTCGGTTCATTGATTCATAATTCATGTGTTGGTGTTCCTCTCTCTATCTCTCGTGTTTGTTCTCGATTCTTCTTCTGTGCAATTAAGTACTCCAATTACTCTCTTTAGTAGGATTTTGTTGGGATTGTATGAAATAAACTACTTACTACTAGGGATTTTGTTGGGATTATATGTATAACATAACATGAAATAAACTACGTACCACTTAGTAAATTATAATTTGAACTAGTGTTTCTCTGATTATAATCAATAACTACCATCCACTAGGATTATGTTGGGATGTCACGTATAGCTTACATCGACTTAAATTACAAACTGTTTGGGATGTTAAACGTATACAAATAATTAAATAAAAAAATTATGCCAATCCTGAACATATTTGAAATTGCTCTGCAAATCTTTATATCTAAAGATTAAACCCAAACAAATTACTCATAAACTAAACAAATAAGGAAAATGATTCTTGCACCGAATAGTTGCAGTGAATTGCTAGACATACTATTTTAATTGATCAATTATGTAATAAATAAGGAAATGAAGCCCTCCACTTAGTTGTATTTGGTATAAATAGCCAATTAAAAATTATTTATTAGGCAATTCACTGGAAGTATTCAGTAACAGATGATTAATTTCCTTTTTTATCGTCCACTTATCTAAGATTATACCCAAACAATTTACCCATGAACCAAACAAATAAATAGATAATTAATTTCCTTTATTTTGGGTATCGTCCACTTATTTTTCTTCCTTATTAGTAATTATTTTTTTCTCTCTAACATTGATTTCTTCCAAAAAAAAGTATATGATTTGTTTGGAAATAAAATATAAAACTTGGAAATAATACTTAAATATAAAACTTGGAAATAATAATTGTTGGTCTCTGTGCTATGTTGTTTTGTTAATTTAATTTATGAAAACAAAGGAATGGAAATAAAGTTTTGATTTGTTTTGGAACAAATCAAAATATGTTTATTTTGGGAGAGAATAAAGTAAAGGGGACAGTATTTTCAATTTTAGATGGGTTGCTTACAAATTCAGAAGAGAGGGAGGAGGAAACAATTTCAGATGGGTTGCTGACAGATTAGGAAGAAATGGAAATAGAGCTTTGATTCGTTTTGGAAACAAATCAAAATATGTTTATTTTGGGAGAGAATAAAGTAAAGTGGACGGTATTTTCAATTTCACATGGGTTGCTAATAAATTCGGAAGAGAGGGAGGAGGAAACAATTTCAGATGGGTTGCTGACAAATTCGGAAGAGGGCTGACAAAACGTTCGTATTTATGTACATATATAAACAAACTTTATATAAATAAAATATAAAAATTTTACCACTCATTCACTCCACCGGAGGAACACCATACCACGAGAGAGTATCCTGATCCAACTCGTGTACCCAATTTCAGTCTCCAACGTGAAACATCTAATCTATGAGAAGCCAACAAGTTCTTACCATTGCTTTCAGTGCCCTTCTGTTTTTAAATACCAGTGAGAAGGGACTAAAGTTTCCGAATAAATCTGAGAAAAGTCACAGCATGGAGGGCTGCTAGAGCCGAAATGGCTGATTTGAACCAGTAAGATGATGGATGGACGAAAAGGAGAGCGTCTGACCCTTGTCAATGGCGCCACGCAGAGGCATTAGTTGCAGCATGCATGACGGTTTTTACTGTCTGATTCTTCGGTACTCGACAGTGCCACCAAGAGTTGAAAGGTTCGACAAAATGGAGGCCGGCAATGAAGCTGCAAGTAGGAATGCTGCGCACTGGTGGTGGCAGTGAATGTTGTGTAGCATACCGCATACTGTTTTCTTTAACCATTGAATATATTTTTTTTGCGACAAATACAAATTCTGCTATGGGATCATTTAGTAGAATTCGGAAAATTATGAAACTGAGTTGGAGAAAACATAAAAGGATGATTTTTTATATTCTTAACTAGAGTAATAATAATGTACCATATGAGTCTCACATGTGTAAAGCTAAACCTCCAGTATTTTTCAAAAAGCTACAAGCCTACAAACTAAACGAGTTCTTGTACCTCAGAAGTACAAAATGGAGAAGAAAAAAAAGAGAGAAAAATAGAATTAGAAAATTTACATTAGAATTAAAATCAAAACAAAAGAAGTACTAGGCAAAATAGCAGCTTTCCTTTTTTCACATTTCTCTTCCAGATATTATGCCCTTCAGTGGGAGCAAATGCATGCTTAATTATTGATGCACTTCATTTGGTACCGTTGGTGGAGTCTTTCTAAATACATGCTTTCTGCAGCGTTCAAAAATGCTGTCGTATATTAAATCAAATTGAACCCCAGCTCGCTCCCGGTTCACAATGAAAAGAATGTGATCAGCTTCCACAATTTTGTAATACCTGCACTCGACCATATAATTCACTTTCACGTCAACCTACAGAATCCTTAACAAGTAATCAGTGTCAAAGAATGCCCAAGCAAGGAAAGGAACAAAAACATATTGCTTCATATGATTTAAGGAAAACAACCTCAACAATAATTCAGCTTCAAATTATTTCAAATTTTGATTATTTTGTTTGTCCACTTCCATTACATGTTTTGAAATTCAAACATATTCTTAAATCACTGCCTGCAAGTCAATTGATTCGCTTATAGTTTCAATTGGTTGCTAAAATGGCCAAATATTTTAAACTTAATAGTAACTCCATGTTTTTGCAGTAGCAATGAAACATAATATTATTCAACGATCCTCAAGGGGAAAAGGGCGGTGGTTTAGGAATGGAGTGGATATAGCATGAAGTTGAAAATTTCAATCACAAACACTAGTTGAGATATCAAACATGTCAATACAATGAAAACTATGAATCAAATTTTATTTATTTAATTATTTTTTGTATAAACAAACTTAAGCCAGAGATGATACATTTCAAATTGGTATTTCAGAAGGCACCATTATATAGAAGAATTGGCAACATTGCAATGAAATTCCAGATCAGCATATGTACAAATTTCTTTCAAACAACACCATAGGTTTTGGCTTTAGCATAATAATTTTTTTTTTTTTTTTTTTGGTTAAATAAAAGGAAGTGAATGGAGGCTTTAATATAACTTTTGCTATAGGAAGACACAGACAAGAAACCATGATTCTGATATGTAGTCAAAATAAAGCGAACATAATTTCCTTACCACTAATTAAAAATTCTAACAGTAAGTTTGTTGAACATTTTATACCAAAATAATTAATTAAAATGATCAGATTTTGAATTGGCTAGAAGTGAATTAAAACCAGAATTCTCCAACTTCAAATTGATCAGAGACATTGAATGACCACCTTACTGATAATGATAATGATGGTAACAATTGTGATGATGCTGATGTTGATTCTAGTAATTAAGAGGTTCACATGACCAAAAGATTGAATTGTAACCATATGGTGCACAAATAAACATGTTCAATATCATAAATGCGACAGTGTTGGCAACCACAATAGATAAATGATGATAAGATGTGTAACAAACCAGATGCCTGGCTGCAAGGGCTGGCAATCAGAATCCTTCAGAACAAAATGATTTGGGTGTTCAAATGGAAGACGAGGATGTGTCATGGATATGGTGTTGAGTGCTCCATCATTGTCCTGCCAATCCTCATCCCTGCATATGTATTGACATGAATCATGATCCACGACATAAAATCCAACTCAAGATATTACATTTTGGCTTCAATATTAAATTCCAAAACAAGTAACAGTCATAACCAAATCCATTTAAAGAAATTGAAATTTAGAAATAGAGGATACTGCAAAATGGTTAGTAAATTCCCGAGAAATGTTGGAAATTTATTCAGGTTTTCAGAACATCAAAATTTTCAAATGACCAAAAGTGTAGGAGTAAAGGCACAAGAAGAGTTGCATCTTGATGGGCAGATAAGTTATTGAATAGCCAAGGAGAACCCACCTGTAACCTTTGTAAGGGGGGGAAACATCAGGAGGATGACGCCATTGGCTCATCTGCAAGACTCTGACGAAAAGCAAAGGATGAATGCCAAAAATGCTAGAGGGAACTGTGACACCCATGATTTTCCTAGTCCGCTTTGTAGCATAGCTGAAGTAGTACGTGGTGGGGAATGTATTTAAATGGTAGTTGAGTCGGATGGACCCTTGAATCGTAAGATCCGGAAGGATCCAATCACCTGAAGCAAATGGACCTGTATTTCCCAACAGGCAATCAACAAGACCCCATACACCAATATTCTTCCACGACATGTTGAAGTGATCAAATCCAAAATTGTAATAGGCCTTTAGCCAGGGGATATCAAACCAATCATAAACTATTACTCCTATGCGGCACAACTGAAGCAGGCTAATGGATTTCATGGACCTTCCATCTTCTGGCCTGTAACATATTAAATTCACAGTGAGCAACTTAAAATTCATGAATAATCTTATATGGCCGACAATTTAATTAAGAAATGGAGAAAAATCCAGAAGAGAGATGTACTGACAAGCACAAGTTTGAAGTTTAACTTGCATATGTAACCAACAAAAAAGAATATTTACACAATACAACTTAAATTCAAGATTGTATTGACTAATCTTCTGTAAAAATTGTTCGAGGTGAATATTTGCTTTCTTTCTGATTGATCAAGCACTGAATTGATTTGATTGATTGACAAAGCATTTTACTTCTACATTTCATTAATACCATTCTAAAAATCAATTTATTCTCAATCAGAACTTACTGCATCCCATCTAGATAAGTCCTTGTTGTCCCATTGAATGCTCCGGACAACGACGTGATGCTTAATACCCAGTTTTCTGTAGTGTTCTCATACCCCTTGAAAGCCTAAAATAATTATACACGTATAATTAAACATATGGAGATCATATACTTCTGTGTAAATACATCATATCAAACTGTGACTAACCTTATCAGCCAGCATTTGCTGCAAAACCCGAACCACCTGTGCTCCAGCCGAATGCCCAACAAAGTGAAGAGGGTGATCCTCATCCCAGTCAGGGTAGTGCCCTGCATCCCAATTAGACCAAGCAAAGACAAGTTCATATAGCCTATTATTCATACAACTAAATCAAATGGAGAAAAAAAAAAAAAAAAAACAGGTTATCTTTGAACCTTGTTCATAAATTCTTCCAAACTGCGAATGCCCACAAGCTTTGCTGTGTTCTTCTCCGTAATCAACTTGCCCACCTTTCAAATAATAGAACAATTCACGAGCCCTGAAATATATAACCCCTTAAAGGTGCAAACACAGATAGAGAACAAGAACAATGAAATGGAAAGGAAAAGCCATAATTAAATCTCCATACCAGCATTTAAATTTCAATCACCCATTTACACGAGAGAAAAAAAATTACCAAAAAAATAAAATCAAAAACAAAAACTTCCAATCACCATTTACAGGAAAAAAAAAAAAAAAAAAAAAAAAAAAACCCCTTTCAATCACCCACCTATCATATATACTTGTTAAGGAGCCTAAATCAGGCACAAGAACCCTCTCATCTTTCTTCTCAGCGCCTGCGAAATAGGACAAGCCTCCTAATTTCTAAAAGCAGTAGAAAATCAAACCCATAGTCAAAAAAAGCTCTTTTACAGAAATCAATCCGAACAAATTTACATAATAAAAGATTAATCAAAACCCAAATCATAAAATTTTGTATACATTCACATACCCCTTTGCCAAAACCGAAAATTCCGTGAACTAACACAATCGGGGGCAAATCATTACCGCTGATTGACCCTTTGGACTCCTCTTTGACCCCAAAATTCACGTTTGGCTTAGAAAGAAAATCATTTAAAGCCTGAGATAGATCACCAGCCACAGCTGTGCTGAATATGTAAAACCCATAAAGCAAATGAACCACAGAGCTCACAAATAGCTCTGAAAATTGCAGAGCGGCTACCCAAAACCTAATCATTTCAAAGCCAGAAGAAGAATATATCTGTATCTCTGTGTCTATATATATATATATATATTTCAGAGCAGAGCCTTCTTCAGAAATATATGAAAGAAGGCTCTTGTGCACCAACTTCAATCAATCGTCTACAAGAATCAAAGCCCTGATCAAACCCTTCTGTAATGTATACAGAAGGGTAAGATCCTTCAGACCCTCTTTCGTTTTTTGTTGGGGGTTTTGTTTGCTTTTTCAAACTTTGAAAATGGTAACTTTCCCCAAAAAGAGAAAAATAAAAACCTTTGAAAATGGTTTCTCTCACAATTTTCTCATTTTCTACCTCACAAAACTATGCGACCCAACCAATCATCATCATACCCTTGCTGTTCATTCATTCATTTTTCGTTTTTGTAGAGGCTCCCCCAGAAAAAAAGGTCGAAGTGGGTTTGTACCACGTGTCCTAGTTTTAACCGCTCCCACAAGTTGTAGTATAAACCCTATATGGGCCTACAAGGACAGATGGTTGGTGTTTGGTGGCCCTATAGAATCCAAAATTGCGTTACTTTTAGTGACCCAAAATAGTAGGGGTAGGGGTTGGTAATTAAAAGATACAGGGATTTTTAAGCGTTTGGGTAAAGCTTGAATTTTGTTGAGTTTCTAGGCGTTTCTTTCCAAGAAGAATGTGCTGGATCAAAGCTGGAAAGTTGGTTCCCTATCAAACCAACCTCCAACGCCCCCACCCTTATCCATATCACCGTGTTCTTATAAATTCCTATATTAAATGTTCTATTGTGGTCACGCGCCTCGAAGGGCATTGTGTTCGGTATTGATTGAATTGGGTGCAAATGTTGTTTTGAAATGGACAAGTGCTCGTCTCATTTTGACTAGAGAACGACAAGCTTTTGAGTATCTTAAAATGTAGCTTTTAATGTGTACAAATTTAGTTGAAGCTAGTTTTGGAGTCCATTAATTTTGTGAAGTTGAGTTTTTACTATCCGTTATTCAGTATGATTATTAAGATCGAGGCTCATTTTCGTAAAAATAATTTTGAATAACATTATAAATTAATCGAATTATTCAAAAAGAACACGAGTTCTGCTCGTTTAAAGTTTTGTTTGAACTTGGTCGTTAAACAAATGAGGGATGCTAAGTTTGATTTATTGACTCATTTAGTAAATAAGTTGATCCTGAATACTAGTAGCGGGCTTGACTCCAATAAGCTCGTGAACATAAGATTGTGTAGACTCGTATATGTTTATGAACGTAGACTCATGAAAACGTTAATAATTATAAGGTTGTATAGGTTCATTAAAACAAAGATTTGTAGGGTTGTATAGGTTCATTAACATATACTGGTGTAGACTCATCTTCGTTAAATTCCTTTTGAGCTTGTGAATTGTACTCAAACTTGAATCTTTACCAATTGATGTGAGATTAGTTCAACTGTCCAACAATTCCCCTCGAATGAGGCTCTCCAATGAATTTACATCACTAAGTGATTTTGAGTCTACATGCAGTTCTTTAGAACCGGACTTTAATACCAATTATTGGGTTGGAGGTATCCAATACAAAAGGTTAACCCATTAGATGGAGTGATCTTTGTCTCATATAATTCCCAGATTCTTTCTTTACCAATTGATGTGGGGCTTGTACCATCCAACAGTTCTCTCCTTTTCCTTCTCCCAAAATAAATTTCCACCATTCCATTTTGAATTTACCAAAATAAATTCCATTTTAAAAGTAAAAGTATAATTTTTTATGAGATGCAAATATTCACACTCCACTTTTTTACGATTGTACTGCACTCTTATAGGAAATGACACTTCTATCTCTAATTTTATAAATAAATAATCATTTTTTCTCAAATATCACAATTGCCCTTTCAATTAAGGAAAGATATCTTCTTCTTCATCTCCCTACCGAATTAACTTAACTTTTTAGGTCACTTCCAGCCTCTTCTTTCTTAGGTCACTTCCAACCCCTTCTTTCTGTACTATTTATTAAATATCTTTTATATCTCCTCGGGTTTTAATATTGATCTTCGTATGTAACAATAGAAGATCTCACATATAAAGAAATTGTTGAGTTGATCTGGTTAGCACAAGAAACATGTAAGGGCTATCAAAACTTCATGAGCCATTCAATTCCATCGATATAAATGGTGATGGTAATTTTTCTTTTGGTATTGTTGTGCTTTGAGTTTAAGTTGAATTTTGGAATCTCTTAAAAGCATGAATTTTGTGCAAAAAACGAAAAAAAAAAAAAAAAAAAAAGAAAGAAAAAGAAAAAGAAAAAAAAAATGTATCCTTATTTTTTGTCTCCACTTCTCTTAAATTCAATTGAAATATAATTCTAAATTTAATTCTGTCAAAACTTACAGCTATAAAACTCACCTTCCAAATATCTTCTTATTTTTCTTTTTTCTTTTCCTTGGTATAATTCATATATATATTTTTTAAGATTAACAATATATAATATTAATTGAATACATAGAAGAGAAAAAAAAAAAAAAACAAAAAACAAAAGCAAAAACAAAAACATTCACTGTAATAGAGTTCTTCAAGAAACGTATTTTATAGAAAGAAGAATTTTCAACAAAAACGATACCATATAGAGGAATAAGTGATATAGAACGAAAAATGATTTTGTCTAAAATTAGTTAGTGCATTTAATATGTTATGTATGATTTGGGAGGACAATTGGTTTATTGTCATGTTAAATTAAAAGGTAATAAAAAAAAAAAAAGTTTATAGTGCAAAAAGAAGTTATAGTATAATAAAATAAGAGAAGAAGCATTAAAAATAATTAGGGAATTCTTTGTCATTCACTTTAGTGGAGTGTTAATATCGCCTCATTTTTTTATATCATTATTTTTTTAAATTTTTTATATTGAACTTATTAAAACTAAATCATCACATCATGTGGACCTATTATAGATAAATTTGATAATTAAATTACTACCAAAATAATAAAAAATATCTTAATAAAAAGTAATGCCAAGGACACTCGCTGTAGCGCCATTAACAGTTATAAAACCAATCATAAAAGCTCATTGATCTTATCTTTCTTATTTATTTGGACATTAAAAATGGTGATTTTTTACGGATAAAATTACCCTTTCAATATTTAAATCTTTCATGGACATTAAGAACTAATCTGGAATTATTTTTTTCCCAATTGGGTTTACTTTCACAAGTGCTTATGAAAAGCAGATAGATTCTATATATACAAACAGGTTTTAATTATCATAGGTTTCAGTTGAAGTAAAATTATGAATTGAGTTTTAGTTGTAGTAAAATTATGAATTGAGTACTATTTTGTGAGAGAGAGAGATGGGAATAGATTTGTCAAAAACTAAAAATAAAAATAAATTGAAAAGGTATGCTGGTGGTGATGTGATTGTACTGTTGTAGTAAAGAATACATAAAGTAATTTATATATATACACACTCATTGTAATTTATTACAAAAGTTGACATATACAAATATGTGTACCGATTTGTTGTAATAAATTATTTAATTAAATATTTTTAATTATTTATTTATACACAATACATTTAAGTGGATAGTTCCACTTCTTTATTTATGTATAAATAAATCAATTAAAATAAATAAGTCTGAGCAATTTACTACAACAAATGATATAAATAAAGAAGTAAGCCCACCACTTATATGTATGGTACATATATAATCAATCGAAAACATTCGATTAAGTAATTTACTATAACAAATCAATACAAATATAATCTCTCTCTCTGTATATATAAACACAAACACACACGTTCACAAGCAGGAGAGAGACCAAATTTGTTAAAATGTTACTATTTTTAATATCCAAGTAAAAAGGAAGGATACAATTAATGAACTTTTCTGAATTTTCTTTTCAATTCATATCCAGTTAATCCGATCAGATTCGGATGGATTTCGGATTCATTGACGGATCGGAGTATCTCATGTAAATAAGGCGGCGCATTGGTTTAGTGGAGTGAGCACGTTATTTACACGCGGTATGAAGAGTAACGGGGCTGCCATAATTGGCATCAAAATGGTCGTGAATCCCTAATGTGCAGCACATGGGGTGTACCGTGTCGGCTGCATTTTTTAAACTACAATTCCGTTTTTAGCGTGCTTTTTCGACTTAAAATATTAGTGGTTGTTCAAATCATTTGACCACTTTTCTATTCTAATATAACTGGTAGCTTAACTCCATGGTAATACACCCCCCACATCAACCATTAGCCGCGGTCCAACATTTGATGCTTGTACGCCGAAAAAATTACTATAAAAAACTAAAATTTACACACACATTTTGATAAATACATATAACTACGAAAATAGCATTATTTTCTTAAAATTAAGAAATAAAAGAATCCATAATTAGGGTGCAGTTATCAAAAAGGAGGAATGCAGACCCTGTTATAAAAAATAAACTGAACAAACAAATTCAATGAGAAATAATTAATGAATATTGATGAGACGTGGACTCCCAAAAAAATAAAAAATAAAATATTTCAATTTAACTAAGGATAAGTGTAAAAAAACACCTCTTAAATATACCTTTTATTATATTTTTACTCTTTATTTTAAAAAGTTACAAAAAACACTTTTATTATTTTTAATTTGTGCCAAAACAACTCTCAATTAATATAACGCCTATTTATCCTTTTACTTTTCTAAAAATGCCCCTATCATAGATCTATCAAGTCAGTGCCTGCCCTGGATCAATTGCTTGACCTTTGTGAGGGAGCCATCAGCGCAACACCCACGGCGAGAGACGGAATAACAAGCTGAGAGGAGGGCGATGCGGATTGGATGCTGCTCAGTGAGGCCGCATCCCCTTATTAGTGTGCGCAAATCTATTTCTCTTTCCCCAACAAAAAGGAACAATTAGCCAAAAGAGACCACATAAAACATTTTACAAACCCACCAAACAGAGAGCAAGATGCAGTGGGCGTGGAACAGAAGAACCGTGCCGGTGGACAAGGACAGAAGAAACGGAGAGAACACCAATGTAGGTGCAGCCTGAACCAGAACGAAGAACATGACGCCGGCGACGGTGCATAACTGGTCCGGCGACAGTAAGGCAGAGGGAAACAACTTGTTGATAACGGTGTGGAACTGGATGGAACAGCGAGAAGCGGCAGGTCATAGACTGAATGAAGCAAAACCAGACAATTAACAGAGAGCATACCTTTGCTCTGAACGGCGGCCACGGAGAATAAAACGACAGGTAAGGTCTGCGGAGAATTGATAGTAATACACCGGCCAATCTGACCAGAATAGAAGAGCCCGGTAGGTGGTGTCGTTGTCTGTTGAAGGTGGAGATTGGAGAAGCTCCGTCGCTCCGGCCAAACTCCGGTGTCGAAAACTCCAATGATGACGTCAGATCCGTAATCGAATTCCGACGGGAAGACCAG